AGCGTGTGAATGTCTATTACAATGAGGCTTCGTGTGGGCGATTTGTCATGCGTGTTGTGCTCATGGATTTGGAACCAGGTACTATGGACAATGTCAGGACTAGTCCCTACGGTCAGATTTTCAGGCCTGATAACTTTGTGTTTGGTTAATCTGGCGCTGGTAACAACTGGGCTAAGGGCCATTACACTGAGGGAGCTGAGCTCATTGATGCTGTTCTTGATGTTGTGAGAAAGGAGGCAGAGAACTGTGATTTGTCTTAGTCGTTGGTGCTGGGTTCCTTCGAACCCAGTAGGGAGGGGAAGGAGAAAAGGAAAGAGAAGGAGAAAAAAAAGAAATTTTTATTTATTAAATTATATTTTTGGTGCCAAGTCACAATATTTTGAAGTTAAAGGGTAAATTTAGTTCAAAAATGAAAGTTAAGGGACTGAATTGAGGATTTAACTTTTTTTTTTCAAACCTTTAGTTAGCAGTGGGGCCCACAAATAAAATTGGTAGCAGGTAGATTTCTCGCTCATGTGGTTCCAAGTTGGCATGCCAAGTTGTCAAAAAAGTCTGAGGTGGCGCTAACATGTGCACACTTGACGGAGGCCAACGGTGCACGTGCTACACATGACACTCCGGCGTTAAATTTTGCCTCATTTCCTTAAACTCGAAAATATGGAGGGTGAAAATCCATGTATTGTAATATGGAGGGTAAAAACCCTCAAAATCGAAAAGTTAAGGGGCAAACGGGTACCTTTTGCCACTTTTTCTAGAATTAAACTTTCCTTTTCTAAAAAAAAATAAAAAATAAATTTTCATAACAGTAAGAATTATTGTCAAGTTCTTGTTTTAAACAAACATGCAAAAATTATGAGAAGAGTTAATGGTCAAGAATTACTTGGAAGAGTTTAAAATATATAATCATTTCAAGACCATTATTTACATGGAATTTTAGGATGTCATTATTTTATTAATAGAACTTTCTGTTTGTTGAAGGATGAATTTGTATTATTTCAAAGTTGACAACATGTGCAACACCACATTAGCAATGGCCCACATGTTCTGTTTTCCACACCAGACATGCTATTTTTATTTTCTACTAATTGCTGCAATAGAGTCAGCATCGCCAAGAGTGGCATTCATCCACTTCACTAGAAACAATGCAGACACCACCCGCTCCGACATCTGTTTCTGTATACACAACCAGACGTGGCCACATTTATCTGCATAACATGGCTGGGTGTTTTTGATGGTTATGTTCTTTACAACAATGTTCGCCATTACATATTTCAACTCTCAACAATGGACAAAGGGCCAGATTTGTTATCTCATTTAGCCTTTAACAATTGACAAAAGGCTGCACATTTCTACATATCTTTATTACATTGGCTCCCAACAATGGACAAAGGTGTCGGACAACAATGGACAAAGGTGTCGGATCTCTACATATTTTATCTCACTGGCTCTTGGGAATGGACAAAGAGTTAGCGTAACTCAATATGATTAGCGTGAGGCTAGTAACAGTTGCAACTCTACGATTAGACGAGATGGCTACCCTCTAACAATAAAAATCCATCAAGTAGCAACCGACAATCCCTTTGTGGTCGCCCGTGCATGGTGGTGCGGTGCCCAATGGGCAACAACAACCAAAACCACCCTTTGATGGTGCCGGTACGGCAAGAAAGGCCAACGTTTGCCAATGGTGTCACACCTTATTGTATCAGAGGCCATGGATGCGACTGATGTCCCCCTTTCATAGAGACAACTCCACCTTTCTCTATCACATATTCATTGCTATGGCGGAGTTTGACTTAGTGAGATTTGCCCTTTCATGACTTGGCGGATTAGTGGGAGTGCTCTTCCACTTCCACATAGTTCACACTCCAGCCATGGGCAAAGCTAACCACAGTTGTCCCTCTGGCTATAAAGAAGCTATTCATGGTTGCTCGTGCTATATTTATATGACTAGCGACCATGCATGCCATTATTTCCTCACACAAAGGGGTAAATTTACTGGTTGCCAGTAATCTCGACTCATAACATATATCTTCTATACTTCATGTGTTAGTAGGTATCGTTGACTAGTGATGCTTGGCTCAAGACAACGATATTGTAGCACATATCCATTCACTTATTCCTTGTCTTGGCGTCATGCCAGCCATACACAACAATAATATATAGGTGTTCACCATGACCAGCAGACAAAGGGTGTAGTGAGTATTCACCCATATCACCCCTTTCAGATAAACGTAAGCCCATGAATCCAAACTCATGGGAATTACTTAGGATAAACTATGGGAGTGGTGGCTTAATGAATGGGTGAATGCTGCCGATTTGGCAAAGCAAGGTATTCGTGCCAACGAAGCTTGGCACTGGCGATGGCGTTGTTGCCCAACTTCACCAGAAAGGGCTAGGTGGCGAAGACATGGAAGTGGAATTGATCCCCAAAATCGTACCATTTGATGCTAACTAGAAGCTCAAAAATCCTATTAAAAACAAACCAGAGATGTTATTTTAGTCTTCATCAACAAATTGCAGTAGTATTTAATGCAAAGGTGGCTGCACAAATTACACTATATTGGGAACTATTGAAAAAAATTGCATTTTGCTTAGGAAATTTTCTTAAATCCTAGGGAGATTTTATGTTTGCTAGCTACACTCAAATATCCCCCAAAAATGGAATTTCGTATGACTAAAGGAATTACCAAAAAAGGTCAACTTCCAATCCCTCACTAAAACCAACAAAACTTCACTAGAACTATTAGGTAATTCATAATACCACTACTAAAGAGCTATCAACAATGCCCAAAGCTACTAAAAGCTTGACAGCTCACCTAAATCTACTTGTTAGCTACTGTACACCTCTGACCCGTTAACTCAAAAATCACGAAAATGCCACTACACATGTATATATTATTTTTTCTTCATTTTTCAAGGATAGTTTTTCCACGGCCCTAGTTTTCTTTCCCATGCACCAGACCTCCATTTGTCCTTGAAAGAAATCTTTCATCTTCAGCCTCTCATCCTACACACTGAAATTACCCAAAAGTTACAATCTTCATAATATTTTCTACACTTCCAACATTGCAGAACAATTTCCAGATCTGCAAAGTATCATGGCTAGGAGACAGCATACTGCAATTTCAGCTTCTAAGTGATTTTTCTTGAGCATCAAAGGATCAAACTGCAAGGTTAGCATTAGAAACGAGATCAACCACTCCACTCACAAGCTTCTCAAGTGGTCATCCTTCTTCCTCCCATCACCACTTTCAAGTTTATTCCTTTGGTTCTTGAAAGAGCTTCAAGGGAAGGATTGTTGTATTTTCTATTTACAATATGAGGATTGTTCGTTATAGAGTGAGGATATTTACTAGAGATAATAAAGGGCACATTTATTGTCATTATTATTATGTCACAATATTTTATGTGTAAATGTGCTTTTCAAGTTGTAACCCTTGACCCTCGTGTACTTTTTCTCCTTGTTGCTCCTACAACAATGTACATCTTCTTTTTATCATTTTTGATAGTTGTGTAATCATCCATTGTTCTTGAAACTCTGTCATTGTTGCTTAGTTCTTCCAGCTTGGCTAGAACATTTTTACTTTCAAACTTTGTTGGAGAGTTTGCTGTTGGACATCATTGTTGGATAGAATGAGATGGATTGTAACACGTAGCCTTTTGCACGTGGAACGGGTGTTGCCAAAAGGACCCTCCTCATTTCTTTTTACAAGTGGCATCTTAGTAAACCTCCACATCATCTTTGTTGCTGACTTATCATCCTACATCACCAGCACACCCCAACACTGTTCATTTAATTTTGGTGTATATCTTTAAGGAAAAAAAACCTAAGTATATTTTTTAGTATTAACCTTCTGATATCCAATAGCAACATTAGGTCCCAATTAAATCGAAATCGAGTCACGTCGAACCCCATATGAGGAGAAACTCTCCCAACGCATATTTCTCCATTTACAAGACTCGAAATCGAGATTTGACTTAAAAGGAACCAACCTCCTTCTAGTCGGATCAATAGGTCGTTGGTCTAAGTAAATATTATTAAGAAAAAGAATATTTTGCTCGAAAAATACGAAGAAATTTTTTTTTTTTTTTAAGTCAACACCATCTACACTATAGTTGATGTTGTTGTGTTGCTTGCTCGGAGACATTTCATCGTTTCTTAATGCTTAGCTAGAGTTCATAAATATATTTTGCTAATTGTTATTGAATCTAAAATTTTTAGCATGCCATTTATTTTAACTAAATTTCGTTGAATTTTTAATTGGTATTAAATTTTACACTTATCATCATTAAATACTTGATTAATATATATTACTAATGAAAATCAAATATTTAAAATTTAAATTATGCTTTTTATTAAACAAATCAACTCATAAACCTGTAGGTTGATCCTTCTTTTTTAAGACATGACTCATTTAGATCAACTTCATAGGTTATTAAAAGGTCATGGTTCAATACCCCAATGAGGTGGCTTAACAGTTAAGAGTTTGAGACTAGGTGAGGAAGGATTTGGGAATGGGAGGCTATCCCCTATTGTATAGCTCATAATCAAATGTACAAAGAAAAAAACAGTCATGGTTCCAAAAGTATTAACCTTAACCTGTTTATACAAGTCAGGTTGACAAGTTGAGTTCACTTTTCACTACTAGAAAACAATTTTTAATCGATAGAAAATTTTGTTGATTATATAAGAAATTTTGTTGATTATGAGTATAATCGATAGAAAAAAAATGTCGAATAAATGTGCATCAAAAATTTGTATAATCGACATAAATGTTTTCTGTCAATTATACATGGATATAATCGACAGTCATGTCTATCGATTATGTTGGTAACTGATTAAAAAAAAATTAAAAAATAATTTTACATTTATTAATTAAATTATAAATATTAATCAAAATATATGCAAAACAACTATGCGTTGCAATAATATTTATGTATACATATATAGATAAATCTACAAAAACTAATTGAAAAACTATAATATTTTGCAAATATTATGAAAATAATGAAAAAAAAAAGGAAATTGAAAGCATAAATCAAAAGTAGTGTTAGAAATTACCTCATAATATGATTTCAACCTTAATAACCTATAAAAGACAAAAAAATATTATTAGATCAAATAAAAATAATTGAATAATATAGAAACTAAAATAAATGAAAAAAAAAAAACCCAAGACTTAGAAAGGTAGAAGGAATTGAAGGGAAAAGGTGAAGTAATGTAAAAATAATAAAAGAAGAAGAAGAGAGGTAGCTAGAAAGAGAAAAGATCAAGAATTAAAATGGTAGAGTTTAGGGAGAAGGGAGGATGAAGAAAGTTAAAAAGGAAAAAAGACAATGAAACATTTAGAAAGGTAGAAGAAAATAGAGAAGATTAAGCAAGGTAGAAGAGAAAAAAGGGCATGCACATCTGCAAAAAAAGGAAGGAGGATGGAAAATTTTGGAGAAGAGGAGATGAGAGAATGTTTGAAAGTTCTATTTCTGGGTTTATATATATAAACAAAGTATCATTGACGACATTTCTGTCGATTATACTCTATTGGTTATATTTTGAATTTATTACACTATGAAATTCAATTTTTTTTTTTTTTTGGCAAGGTAAGGTGAGATACAAGTATAATCGACACCTACTATGGCTATTGATTATACTTGTTATAATCGACAAAAATGACTGTCGATTATACATGCTATAGTTTCCTATAAATATATAAATTTAGTAATAATAATTTAAGACTATCAAATGTGACATTATTTTTAACTACTATTATACACATATATACTTTGATTAAGTTACCAATTCTAATACTAATATTTGTAGTTAACTTAATTATTATATATAAAATATAATATATTAATTAAAAATAATTTTACATTTGATAGTGTTAAAATTTT